GCTTCTGCCTCATCTCCTGGTGGCAAATCATCATCCTTCTTGTCATGCTGCTTTGCCTCATCCTCATGTGCGTCGTCTTCGCCTTCGTTCTGTACTGCAGCTGGCCTCTGAGTCGTGCCGCCTTCATCTTTCTCATTCTCACCCTCCTGACTGTACGCAATTCTTTGCGCTGTCTCGCCCGCTTCATCGAGTAGAGGATCATATCCCGCGCCACCTTCAGGCTTCACTTCATGGGCTTCCTCATGTCCTCCTCCTCCTCCTGAACTGCTTGCTTTGGCTTCTTCTCCTCCAGAACTGCGTTCGCGTGCTTCTCCTCCTCCTGAACTGCGTTCTGTTACTTCTCCTCCTCCTGCTGAATTGCTCCCTCCTGCTCCTGAAGTGCTTTCTTCTGCTTCTGCGCGCGAGCCGAAACTGTCGTCGCAATCGACGGTCGCACCACGAAGCGAATCGGGAATGTCTATGCGCAAGCTCTCCGCCATAACGTCTCGCACCTTTTGCTCGTCTCCGAAGTCGCCCTTTGAAACCGCCCTGCCCTCCTGAGGCCCTCCAATCCTTCCGAACGCGCCCGTGAAAGTCGGAAACCCCAGCCCCTCAGTTTCTTGTGACATGGCCCCCCCCCCTCAGTGGCACTCTCCAGTGCTTTCCAAAGATGGCACTCGAGACTGCTAGCAGCTGCGGCGGCGGATGAAGAAGGACAGACCTCAAAGACTGATGTGAGGGGGAGAGAAGATAGAGCGGATGCAACTCACGAGGCACAATGCAACACACGCTCTCCCAAAGGAAATGACAGCCGCGCACCACCGTAACAAAAGCAAGAACAATAAAGAATGGCATGCGTTCACACATGAAGTCAACCTACCCCTCCCCGTTCATCTTTTCAGCCTGCACTCGCGAAAAGCAACATGCTTCTTAACAGACAAGGGCTGCCGCGCTGCGTGGCACATGCTCACATCTTTTGCTTTCGCATGCCCTCTTCTTCTTTTCTTATTCTTTTCTTTTGTCTTCTTCTGTCTTTCTGCCTTCGGTCTTCTGTCTTTCTGCCTTCTGTCTGCCTTCTGTATTTCTGTATCTTCTTTGTCTTTCTGCCTTCGATCGCTGTCTTTATCTTTGTTCTAATTTCTTTATCTTCTTTGTCTTTGTTCTTTATCTTTTATATTCTTCTGTGCTTTTGTCAAGCCCTTGGCTATCTGACTTTGTCATCTTCTACCTTTGTCTTCAGCCACTCGAAGAAGCAGCAGCACTCTTGGACATCATCTCTGTCAATATCTCGTCCCGCCTGCTGTACAAGTTCTCTTTCTTCACCTTCCCCGAACAATACTCTGTAGCAACCTTGATCAAACACTCTTTTGCTATCTCTTCCGTCACTTCGAGCCTGACCGTTGTCATGCAGAGGGATTTCACAGTTGGGCTGCTCAATACATAAATGAAAGATCGATCTTTTAGCCTCTTTACTCTGATCTCTTCGTCTTTTTTCATGCCCGTCCAGACCGTACCCGTGCCATTCTGATGGTTTTTGCGCTTTGCTTCCATTTCAGCTTTCTCGTACTCCTGGAGGTCATCACGCGTCATGTTACAGACTTTCACCCAGCCGAAACTGAACATTGCAACGACAACGCCATCTCTATCTACATTGAAATGATTCGACCACTCGGGTTTGGGCTGTTTCTTTTTCCCTGGGATTGTGGTCTGATGGCACGCTGCGCGCCTCGCGGAAACCCAGGTGGCCCCTTCTGCGTGCACGTTGCATTTTTCTGGGCTCTTGTCAGGAGCCACTTTCTTGCGCAACCTCCAAACCTTCTTCCTTTTTCTTGGGATCTCAACTACTTCCGTGTCGAACATGCTAGGAGGGATACCACAATAATCGGATTCCGAGGTTGATTCTTGGACGTATTCGAAACCATCAGGTTTCTTAGCCATCGTGAAACCGCGGTCATCCGTTGGGCTTTCCTCTCTGCTTTTTTTTATCCAGGCATCAGATGGTGCCCAGAAATTCTTTGGAAGCCCTGCTTCGTCAGCTGTCATTCCATGTTTGGTTTTCTTTTCGTCTTTCGCTTGGGCCGCCGCAGCTGCCGGCCTTTTCCTGGATGCATGGCCGCTCGCTTCCTTCTCCTCCTCCGCATCTTCAGTTCCATCCTCCTCTGCTGCCGCAGGTTTCTTTCCTACTGGTTGTTTTTTTATGTCTGTGTCGTCGGCCATCGGAGCTGCAGCTGGTTTCTTTCCTAGCAGAGGCTCGTCTTCTTCACTATATTCCGCATCATCTTCGGGGTCTTTTGAAGCTGGTTTCTTTCCTACTGGTGGCTTCTGCTTTTTGTCGTCACCATCTTCTTCGTCGTCTTTTGAAGCTGCAGCTGGTTTCTTTCTTACTGGTGGCTTTCCCGCCTCGTCTTCTTCTTCTTCTTCTTCTTCCTCCTCCTCTTTATTATTTTCTTCTTCTTCTTCTGCGGCGCCCTCTTCGTCCTTGTCCTGATCTGGCAAAAAGGGTTGAAGCCATCCCGTCTCGGGCCGTCTATTATGAGCGTCTTGGATGTGCCTCGAAGCTGTCCTTATTTTGTCGCTCATCGATTGGCACCACAAGTCTTTCACCTCCACTGCCCCGTGTTCGAATGGAATGGGAGAAGGGAAGGGGAGAAGAGAAGTGGAAATCACTCGACATCCCTCTACTCTACTCCTGCACTCCCTCCCATCCCACCTCACGAGTCATGTCGAACTCCTTCACATCGTGCACCATTCTCAAAGCATCCTTCACGCACTCTTCACTCGGCACTGGGTTCAACGGGCACCTTTCTTTGATGGCTTTCAGCATATCTTTGGCCTCGCTGGGGCGGAGGTATCGCCCTTCATCCTTCCTCCCTCCCTCCTCCTCATCATTCTGTTCTTCCTTCCTTCCTTTGCCTTTCACCTCCCTCCTTCCTGGTTCCTTCCTCCTTCCTTCCTCATTCTTTCCTCCTTCCTTCCTCCTTCCTTCCTCCTTCCTTCCCCCTTCCTTCCTCCTTCCGTCATTCCCCCTCCTCCCCAGCCTGCGTTTTCTCGACGACCTTCCTTCAAAGAGGAGCAACAAAAGAGAGAGAGGGAAACGGATGGCCTCGTAAAGCTTCTCAGTGTTAAGGCTGCTTTTTCTCATATTGTTGGCGTAGTCGAGCAACGTCGTCTTTCCCACTGGAGCTGTCAAGATTATCGCTTCAGCAATCTTTCCTGGGAGATCCTGGGCTTCCTCGGGCTCGTCGTCTGATTTCAGGCTGGCTTTCGAACACGACTGAGCGAGCTTCGGGCTTTCTTTTGGACTTCCTTTCTTTGGCGCCATCCCGCGCGCGCAAGGGGGACAGAAGGGGGGCCTGCTGAACGTGGACAGAAGGAAAGCTTGCTGAACAATTCGAACCCTGCGGGGCAACGACAGACAAAAAGGAGGCACAAATGCAACAACGCATGAACCAATGCAACACGACAAAGCAACCATGACAACGTTGCGCACGTACATTTCGAGCAGGTTACCACGCATAAACATCAGGAAACACCATATAACAATTGGCACTGAAGGCTCATAACCCTGGCACCAAACACCATACGAACACCGTGACACACGTGACACCAAACACCATAAGAACACCAACCGCCATAAGAAGACCTTATGAAAAGTAAGCACACGTGACACCAGAGAACACAAGATAATGTCAGTTATCCCATAATAAAGTCATAACGATAATGTCATAATAACACATAACACATGCACCAAACACCATAATAACACGACAGGGCAATCGCACCGTGTTATGCACTGAACAATTTTCCATACATACCATGTGTATTCAGCGTTATATGGTGCAAGCGAATGCATTCGCATGCACCATATAACGCTGAACACACATGATCGCGAACACTTCATGTACGGATCCGAAATCGAACCGCGGATCCAAAACCATGGCACGGATCCACCAACAACGCGCGGATCCACCAACAACGCGCGGATCCACTTTGTAGCGGAACCGTTCAACGGATCCACCTCATGGCCACGTGACCACCGAAGTGGATCCGTGGATCCACCTTGGTGGATCCGTAGGACCTCTGGGAAGCGACGGACACGTCCGGCTGCAGCGCCACGCAGAGACGCGGCGAACAGCTCCCAGTCGTTGCTCGCCGCCTGCTGCGCCTGCTGCCGCTAAGCCCGCCGGCGCTGTACCCGCCGCCGCGCCTACCCAAGCCCCTGAGGCCAGGAGGCTCATGGCAGCGGATGGTCGAAGCGTGGCGTGGGCAACGGCGCCTAGTGCCGCTGAGCCTCCACTCCGCTCCGTAGCGCTCGAGGCCGAGCTCGACCGACAAGTGGCGACGAAAAGGGCTGCCGCTGCCGGCGAAGCGCCTGCCGCAGAAAGCGCCTTCAAAGAAACGCCACGCCCTCTCGGCCGCTGGGTGAGGTCGCCCGGGGAGGACCGAGACCGCGTGCTCCCAAGCGCCGATCGCGCGCTGAGCCCCACAGGGGACCGACTCCGCCTCCGGCTCCGCCGACGTCTCCGGGGCGTCGGCCGGGTCAGGGGTACCAGGCTCCTCCTCCACGCCGTTCGCTCGCGCGCAGCACACGCCCACAACCACCAGGGCCGGCGCCGATGGCGCCGGGTCACTGGGCGCGCCCATGGGCGTGTGGGCCCGGGGCCGCCGCTCCAGCCGCTGCGGCGCACTCGCGCGGCCACCGGGGCATGCGCGAGCGGGCTGGCCCCCGGGGGATGCGACAGCACCCCCCCCGGAGCCACGACGGCTGCGAGCCGGCGCTCCTCGACTCAAGGGCACAGGCCTCGGGCAGATGTTTCGTGGACGGTGGAAGGTCCGAGGGCCCGAGGTGCCCCAGAGCTTCTGTGGGTCCCTGGGGCCATCGGGGGAGCGAAGTTTCTGGGGGCCACCTGCCGGCGAGCCGGTTTCTTACCTGCTGTGCCTGCTGTACACTTCTTCGCAGAAGGCGCGGGGCAGAGCAGGGAGGGCCCCGGCGGCGACGGCAGCGACGGCGGCGACCTCTCCTCGTGCCTGTGCGCGTACATGTCGGGGCGCCCAGCCGTCTCGTGCTGCCGCTCCGCGTGGCCGACGCCCCCGAGCGCCGTGGCCCTCCCGCTGAGCCTTGGGGGTCGCCGCCGCCGCACTCCTCCACCTCCTACTTTCTTCTCCTCCCCCATCCGCCCCCCTCCCCAACCCCCCTCGCGTCCTGAACAAAAGCACGACGGGAGATTGTTGTTGGTTTGGGCCTCTGGGGGCCATCGGTCGGCCCCTGGGAACGTCAGAAAACGACTAGGGATGACAAGCCGGTCTGGAGGCATGGGTCAGGACCTCCCGGGGTCTGCAGTTTGTTAAAAGAGTCCTTACCTCGGGGGTGTTGGCCCTTCTCGTCCTCAGAGCCCTAACAACACGCATGAACACTGTGGACATGAGGGGCGGAGAAGGAAGGACATGAACCACGTTGCGGCCGTGCCGTACTCACGCTGCGCGTGATGACAGTCATGGCACATTCTGGAAGTGTGGTGCAAAGGTGCAATCACTGGTTGTTCTCAGCCCGATCCACCGTCTGATCCATACCCCCACGCCCCCAAGCCTTCTGCATCCCCAGGTGCACGTGCGGCCTGGAAGGATGGAGTGTGGTTGGTGAAGGAATAATTTACCAGCCTCGAACGTATCCCTATCCCTAAGATTGACACGCCAAAAGGCGATGACAATCTTAGGGATTCGCCCTCAAAAGATAAGGGAATCCCTCTGATTGACATCGTGATGAGGAGGTGCCCAGCATAGGGATAGGGATATGTTCCAGGCTGGTAAATAGTGGAAGGCGTGCAAGGGGAAAGAGCGCTACGGCGATCTCGTCGTTGAAGCTTGCTCGCAGGGAGAGCCGCACAGATTACTACACAGCTGCAACGGCTCCCCTGCCAGCGCGGTGGCACGCGCGCCCCATGTTTCCCTGAGCTACAGTAGTCGGCCTGACCTAAGGAACGATACAAAAGGAACGAAGCCCCTTGTTTTCCAAGTGATTCTAGGACATCCGAAGGAACACCAGGGGGACCCGCCGCCAAAAAGGTAGCGGAACGCATTCAAACCAAAGGAACGTTAGAGCCTCTTTTGAAAAGAAAGTGTTCCTTATTCAAGCCGGACCCTGTAGCGCTCTACGCGCAGAAGGCGTCGTAACAGTAGCCGTTACGACAACGGCGCAGTTCAGAGCAGACGTCGGCATGGCCGAAACATCGGGACGGGCATGGCGAGGCAAACGTGCCATCTCGCCTAAAATCGTGTTCCTCCGACTCATCCTCCAAATCGCCCCCCAAGCCACCCAACCCAATCTCTCCCCCAGACACCTAGCAAATCAGAGAAGTAGGAGGGAGAAGGGGGAGAGGGGAGGGAGGGTGGTGATAGGAAGAGAGGGGATGGTGGGAGAATAACTTGCTGATCATAATCTGGATTTCCAGTTGCCGAAACGGCACTCTCCGGAGCATGCGGCGCTTCTCAGACCGAACTGCCTCGCTCGAGTGCACTCGTGGCGCACATCACGAGCGACCCTGCGACGCAGCGCTGCCGAGGCGGCTGCCTCACCCAGCCGCTCCGCATGCCGCCCCGTGTCGTTGGCGGTGGGTTTATTGCTCATCGGCGGCCGTCAAGCTTCTGGCGCAGGCGCTCGAAGGGCTTCGAACGCCCACGATCCCGTCTACAAGCCTCCACCTCGGGCGACGCGTTCGGCGATGAGAACCTCGATGTTGGGATCGGCGGCCTGGTCCTCGAGGACGCGCTCGATCTTGCGATGGCTCCCCTTCATGGGCCGCACGGGGCCGACGAAATGGTGAGAACCGCTCAGGGTGCCAGCGGCCAACTCAAGGTTACCCTCGATGTTCGGCTTGGGCCGCGCCTGGGCCAGGCCGCCGTCGAACACCGCGGTCATCTCCAGGCCGTCGCCAGGTACCACGGGCACGCCCCCCTCCCCGGGGCCATGCACGGCCGGCGGAGGGGCCCCGTTCACGGGAGACCGACCCGCGTGCGAACCTGCCCAGCGATGTGCAAACGGCGCCGCCGCGGGTGCCCCCTGACGCCTCCCCACGCCTGAGCAGCAGGGATGACCTGGACACCACTCGGCCCGAGCACGGCGGCCTCGGCGCGCAGGGTCGCCTCCACGATCGGCGCCGCCGCGCGCTGCCGCGGCGCGAAGACACGGCGGCCTCGACGTGCAGGATCGACTTCACGCAGGCATCGGGTTTGCGCCGGAGGCGTCTGCGTGCAGGGCCAAGCCGCGCCGCAACACTTCGAGCCAGTTGGTCACTCGGCCCTGCAACCCCCGTCCTGCCAGCCCGGGTCCTGCAGTTTCTCCAAGAGGGCGGGCAGCATGACGCAAATCCTCCGCGCAGCCTCGCTGCTCCCGACCACGGCGCTGAGCGCCCGCTTGGCCCAGTCGGGCGCGCCTGCGTCCGCGCCTGCTGCTCCGCAGGGCGCCACCGATACACCAGCCGATCGGCGGACGCACGAGCGCCAGCTGCGCCGCGAGGAGGAGGAGGAGGAGGAGGAGGAGGAGGAGGAGGAGGAGGAGGAGGAGGAGGAGGAGGAGGAGGGGGAGGAGGAGGAGGAGGACACCTCGAGCGCCCCTCCGCCGCACCCTCTCCCGACGGGGCCACGGCCGGCGACGACAGCGAAAAGGCGGGAGGAGACGTGGCCAGCCTTACGGCGCCGCAAACCTCCCCCGCGCCAACCGCCAAGGCGGCACCAGCCGCCAGCGCACCAGGACCGGCGGGCCACCTGAGTGTGCCACCAGACCTCCCAGGTGCGGCCCCAGCGGTCGCCGACGCACCAGCGTCGGCGATCCCCGAGAGCCTAACCAGGCCAACGGGCCCCAGGCCCAGCCACCTGCTCGAGGCTATCACGCCGCAGCCAAACCTCTTCGACGTGTTCAAGAAGAGGACCCTCTGAGCCCGTGAACAGCCACCCAGGCCGCCGCAAACTCGACCGACACGGCCCCTTTGTGGGGCCACCAGGCTGTAGGACCAAGGCTTGCTGTTCCCTGCGCCAGTTCCAGTTTCCAGTTTCCACTCTTACAGTTATGTTTCTTGCTGCTTGCCGTTCCTTGTTGATGGACCGCGCGGGGGGAGGGGAGCCGAGAAGGAACCTAGTTACCACACCCGAGTCGCGTTGTCTGAATTCCTGGGGGGGGGCGTGGGACATGCAAAAATACATGAAATGCGCGCCCCCGAGACCATACACCCTCGTAAAGTACACCGTATTCGCGTCCCCGAGGCCATAGACCCTCGCGAAGTACACAATATTCGCGTCCCCGAAGCCATACACCCTCGCAACATACGCCATGCTCGTGTCCCCGAAGCAATAAACCTTGTGTAAATTACACAATACTTGCGTCTCCGAGGCCACAAACGCTCGTAAGCCACGCGCTCTTCGCGCCCCTGAAGCCATAGACCCTTGTAAATTTCACGATACTCGCGTCTCCGAAGCCATACACCTGACCTCGAAGCCATAAACTTTTTTGGGTAAAGTATGCAATAATCGCGTTTCGAAGCCAGACGCCCTCGTACATTACTCGACGCGCGCGTCTCCGAAGCCATACGCCTGCGTGGCTTACACTATGTTTGCGAGCCCGAAGCCATGCACCCTCGTGCATTACGCGCTGCTCGCGTGGCCGAAGCCATAAGCAATCGAAATACAACGCCGAATTCAACAATACCATCAGAAGCTCAATTTGACTTGCCGATTACTCATCGTCTTCGCGTGAAGTCCCGACGCTGCTTCACGGCGGCGCCACTGCCTCCTGATTTCGCTATTGCATTGTCCATTATCCAAGAGAGGGGGGCCGGCGGCAGGGGGCGAAGCCCTTACGGATATATACACATGTATACACATCAATATATAATGTATACATTTGGGTATGCCTATGTATGTACATAAATACGTACATATGCCCAGGCGTATGCGTATACATATACATGCACCTGCACAGCTTCATATGAATAGCAAACTACCAATACATATCCTAGAACCATCGCGCGCGCCTCGCGCGCGCTCAGGTTCTAGCAGGCCCCGGGCCTTGACGAATTCACTGCTCCACTGAAGTAGTGGACCACAGTCCACGCATACCGATCTGCATTCCGAAAGGCCTTCGAGGAAAGAGTGGGCTGAGACCATTAGGAGCAGCCGCAGCAGCAAGAGGATCAAAGGCAGGACAAAGGGAACACCCGAACTCTAGCAGAGGAATTATGTTCCAGGCCGGTTTTCTGGGAACATATTTCTTAAGGCGGGGAGACAGCTCGAGAAGCAACAGGAGACGGACGAGGAGCAGTCTCGGGGCCGTCTTGCGGCCATCTGGGAGCCGTCTTGCGGCTGTTTTGGGCGGCCGTCTTGCGGCGGTCTTGGGAGCCTCTTGGGCCATCTTGGGGCCGTCTCGCGCGCGTTGGAGCCGTCGTGACTCATCTGGAGCCCCTCGTGGAGCCCTCCGGAGCTGTCTTGGGGCCCTCCAAGAGCCGTCGTGGGAGCTGCTTGAAACCCTCTGGGGCCGTGTTGGTGCGGTGTAGAACGCGTCGTGGGCCGTCTTGGAGCGTCGGACAGGTGGGAAGGTCTACATGCCAAAAATCTGCGTTTTCCCAGATATTAAAACGATTTGTGGCTATTGAATCTCTGTTCGGAAGGCTGTGGGAGCCATCTTGGAGCGTCTGGAGGGCCTGGTGGGCTGTCTTGGGAGCCTCATGGAAGCCACTTGGGCCCTTTTGTGGCCTCTCCGGAGGCTTCTTGAGACTGAGGGCTCGAATTTTCGGCGGGGGGCCACGATCATCGTCAGGGGTGCCAAAAAAATGGCCGGGGGGCCGCCATGGCGACCAGAGGCAGCAGCCGGGCCCCCCCCCGGCCTACTCCGATATATGAATCTATATATATATATATATATACAAACATACATACATACATACATACATACATACATACATACATACATACATACATACATACATGCATACATGCATACATGCATACATGCATACATGCATACATGCATACATGCATACATGCATACATGCATACATACACATACATCTAGCACACATATACATATACACCTGCAAATCCACATCACTATACGTATACACGTACATGTG